CTAACCATCAAGGGAACCCTTCTTGCTATTGATTTATATGGAGTGGGTATATCAATACTCGGTTTTTTCTTATACTATTTTGATATGGGATAGGTTACTTGATTGACTTAGTAATTGCTTTGACTAAATACATTAAGTTTGAGAATAGAATGTCAGGGAAAATATCAATGTCCACTTAGGTTTTGGCTGGTTTATCTGGTTTTTAACCCATTTACTTGTACTCAGATTCCTAATGTCTGAAGCGTAAGGTTTCTTGTCTGAGAGGAATTTTCCGATGTCTTCGGACTCTTGAGATCCAAGGTACGTGTTTAACTGGTATCTTCAGACTCCTAAGGTTCGGAGTGTGTGTCTCCTCGGCTTCTACATGCACCTTAGAGGAATTTTATTGATGTCCTCGGACTCTTGAGGTCCGAGGCTTGTGATTCCTTGGCTGTGCGCATTAGAGGAATTTAATTTTATTGATGTCCTCAGACTCTTAAGGTCCGAGGCTTATGATTCCTTGGCTGTGTGCCTTAGAGGAATTTTATTGATATCCTCGGACTCTTGAGGTCCGACGCTTGTGATTCCTTGGCTGTACGCCTTAGAGGAATTTTATTGATGTCCTTAGACTCTTGAGGTCTGAGGCTTATGATTCCTTGGTTGTGTGCATTAAAGGAGTTCAGTAGTGTGATACCACTCGATTCTAGAGCTATAAGTGATCAAGTTCGAGTACAGATCCGAGGGATACCAAAAAATTAATATTTAAATGAACACAGAATACAAAAGAATTGAAATGAATAAATAATAAAGCTGAAAGAATTCTAAATTTAAAAAAAAAAAAAAAAAAAAAAACCCTTAAAAGTTATAAAATCCAATACTGTCAAAACCTCTAATGTTTGATACAACTCGGGAATCCACCTAGTGGACCCTTAATAAAATCCCCACTGAAAATTAAACAACTTAAATAAAATCTAAAGCTAAACCATGAAGAGAAATCCTACGTCGTCAGAAGAATGAGTGATTGTCTCTGCTCAGCACGAACAAGCTCTAAGCCCGAAACTGACGAACACCTGAAAAATGATAGTGGGTCAGGCCCACAAGCAAGTTCTATACTACTACAATCCAAACAGAGACCCGATACGCATGTAGATCCTAAACAACTCAATAATAGCTATATAGTCTGTACATATATATATCCACACTAAGGGACTCTAACTGGACTACAAAGGGGGTCTCAACCTAAATAGAGGCAACATGCAAAACGCACCTGAAGTGGGCATGTGTACCTAAGCCTAACAGGGTACACCATTACCTATCATAGCCAGTTATGCATCCCAATGCATATGCGCTCCCTAACCATTGATCCTGAGACTCAAGCTCAAATCGTGGTACCATAATCATATACATAAAAATCTTATTATATCCATCCATAAGAAATCCAGTTAGTTATTCAACTTGTTCAGCTGATCTGACTTAAAAATAAGTAGGATTTTATTTTTTAATCCATTCCCTTATTCCAGAATAGGTAGGACTTAGCGTTTTGAGCTAATCCATCCCTAATATGCCACCGTCCCATTCCGGTGCATAAAATCTATACATTCAATAGTTGATAATACAAATAATAAATATAAATATTAACTAATCCATAATAAGCATAATAAGAATATGTAAATTAACATGCTTGTCTTATACCACTAATACATGATTCACCAATAATTTATAATGCAGAGAATACGTGTAGCCATCCTTTAATCCATGACAAACATAATAGTAATAATAAATAAATTAATATGCTTACCTGATACCACTGATACATGATTAAGTTGTATAACTTATTCACAAAAAACTGCTAAAATAAGGTTAAGCAATTTAAAATCCTCGACCTCCAACAACAGTAAACTATTTTATTTAAAAATTATATACTGTTCAAGTTATAAACATTAGTTGGTTTATTGTGCATTAACAAGCCCTGTGGAGTTTCAGTTTGATCTTAGATATCAATTAAACTTCTCACATACAACCCTAATTACATCAGGAATAACAAAAACCAACCCAGAAATCCAAAATTTGCCAAAAATGCAACAAAAGGGGGAAGAGCCACCTCCCCCACTAGGGGAGCCGCCTCCCCCTTGAGTGGAGCCGGCTCTCCCTTAAGGAGAGCCGCCTCCTTGCTAGTCGAGCTGGCTCCCCCTTGTGGGGAGCCGTCTCCCCTCAAAAGGGAGCCTGCTCTCCTCTTGTTTTCCTTCTCTGTGTCCTCTCCGGCGACTTCCCGATTCTCTATCCTCCATTGCTAAGGTCTCTACTGGTCAATACTAAGTCCCAGTGTGTTTTAGACATAATTAAATTCATTATGCATCAATTAACATCAATTAAAACAAGTATTTACGCAGTTAAACTCAAAATCAAGCAAATACCAATTCATTTAAACACATACTGTTTTAATGAAATCTATCATGCATAAACAATTAGTTTTACGTTTATTTATTCTTGGAATTGCTTTAGGCATGTAAAGAACACAGGTCAAAGGGAAGGAGATAGATATAAAACTTGCCTTTAGGTTTCAGTTTGAAACCTTGCACCGTCGTCTCTGATTTTTCGGACGACTTCCAACTACCGTCAACCTCCTACTACTCTAGTTCGAACACTCAAGCAAGCGTTAATCACCTCTCCTTAGTTCAGTCTTTGTCCCTAGCCAAACCCTAATTCTCCTCACTCAATTTCCTCTCAAGCCTCTTTGTATACATGAACTCTCTGTATACGTGAATAGAGTCTATGTTTTTAAACCCTAAGCAGACTTAATACGATATATTTATAGGTGTATAGGAAAACCTAATTCTAATTAACTGAGAAGACGCAAAGGCTAAAAAAAAAGAGAATAACAAATAAACTAACTATATGTATAAGTCGGCGATTTCATAAAAATATAAAACCCTAAACTACATTATACATATATAATGATAAATGACACTAATTTAATCATTTGTAATAATTAATAATTAAATTAACCCTTATACACAGATATACTCCTATATATATATATGTAGAACCATCCATAGGTATAACTGGACCCATTTAAGCCCCCATCCAAATTATCCATATGACCAAAACCATTGGTCCATTACTACTATCCAAGCCCAACCTCTTGAAATACAATAAAAAAATTAAACATTTGCTTTCAATTAAACAATTACGTCAAGTTAAACAATTAATTCAATTACATATAAGCATACAACTCAATTAAAACAAATAAATCACTTAGACAATTAACCAATTAAACAAATACCAAATAAGTAAATAATGAAAAATAAAAATGCAATAAAAACATAAACTACATACTGAGACTATCCTTTTAAAATTAGGGGTATTAAAAGTAGTATTTTTGGACTCTTGGGGTTCGCAACATGTAATATCCTCAGCTTCATGCCTTAAGGGAACTTTGTTAATATCATCTGATGGTGGCCGCTTGTATATGCCAAAATAATGTAGTGAATGTGCAGTTCAAGAAAAACATTTTGGGTCAAGTTTAAATTTATAAAAACCACTACTACCACTACTACTAACGTAGCAAGGGTCAGTAGGGATCGTCCCAGAGGATTAGAGGTGCACTAGTAATGGAAACAATGCTTAGGGTTAGTAGGTCGAGTGATCAAAGGTAGATTGTTTGGTTGATTAAACTACAATTAAGACTAAACAAGCTCAATATAAAATAAGTAATTAAAGGATAGAGAAAACAAGAGAGAGAGGTCTTGGGACTTAGAGGTCACCACTAAGTTTCACCTTTCTATACATTCAATTCATAATTAATGAGGGGGGAAACATTGTTGCAACAATAGTGTGTGTGTGTGGTTGTTTCAACAAGCATGGATGACTAATTAAGTATATATTGTCTAAACAACACAATGAATAGCACAATATATCAAACTAAGCCGTTAATCCTTCCTTTAAGCTCACAATCCAAACACATCACATCATTAGAGAAATATACTACTTGCATTCATAAGTATGGAATATCAAACAATAAGCATGGATTGTCCTCCCATTTAACAACTAAGGTAACTACACTATATTTAAGCTAATGACATGAAAATTAAACTAATTAAACTAAGGAATAGGCACAATTCATCAAGAAATGAGTATGAACCATCAAACAAACCACAAGAGCATTCTATTAAGCACTATGTCCTGACAAGCTCTAGATCTATAGCATCAACACACATAGACATGCATCAACAACACAAGAGCTAGAGATAAACACATGAACATCTATTGTAGCATACATAGACATATGGATAGAGTGAAATGATCAATTGGAAGAATTAAACCACTTAAATTATTGAATAAACAAGATCTATGTGTATAAAAATGTCAAAACATGTATTACAACACAAATCCCCTCAAAAATACATAAATCAAGGTAAAGACGGCATGCTTAGGGTTAGGGCTAATTTCGAAGAATGATCTTTTAATTCTCTGGAAACTGTTTTGAGAACCAAATCAAATGAGCCCTAAATCTCCCCAAATTCGGTGAAATCGGAATAATCCATGAATCTTTTGAAAAGTATATCCAGGAAATACAGAGATATAAGGAAATTCAGAAAAAAAATTTAGGACATATGGTTGACATGGTTCACTCACAACGGACCTACATTCATTAACAACTGCAACTCTTTTATATTTTAGTTTTAGCAACTGCAAAGAAATATGATATGATATGATATGATAGTCCGCATTGATACTAGGGGAAGAGGAAGCTAACGGTAGAGTTAGTAAAGAAAGGTATGATATTATGTGGATTGATTGAGGTTATGACATTATATAGAGTGGAATGGAAAAATTGTATTCATGTTGCGGATCCCAAGTAATTTGGTAAAGGATTGGTTGTTGTCGTTGCTGCTGCTTAACAAACTGCAACTAGTAGTTTAAATTTTACAATTCAAGGCAGTTACAAAATATGTGAAAACATGCATATACATAATCCTTTTGTATAGTTTTTACCCTCATCAGATCATCACACTCAAACAATGAATGTCAATGAGGCTTCAATGGTAAGGATGGGTATATAGATTATGCTTGATCCCTTTTGTGAGTATTAGCTAATATCATTTGCACTAAGCCCAAGTTTATAAATTTTGATTTACATATCATTTGCACTAAGCGCAAATTTATAAAACTTGATTTACACTTTAGGTGTATATGATAATGAAATCACTTTAGTACTTTTCAATAATTAATTGTTACTTGTTGATAATTAATTAGTACCGCTAGAATTACTGGATCTCAAATTTCACTCCAAAGAGATCCATTTTCTGGATGAATTAATGAGATTGTAACTACTCATATTTCAGTTCGTTAAACATTTTTTTTTTTTTTTTTTATTTATAATTGTTCCTCTAATAATGTTAGAATTGATACTTTCTGCGTAGAAATTGAAGGATTTTGACATTTTACTAGAATGAAAATTTCTTCCCTTCTCCTTTTCAGTTCTTCCTAGTATTTTTGCATGTATAAGTAACGGTGTAGCTTGTAATCTAAATATTTTCTTGTAATTTCAATTTTGTAATAATAGTAATTATTATTTTTTCTAATCACTCTGAGCATGTTACAATTGCATCTTTCTTTAGGAAAACTATGACCAGTTGAATGAAGCGCTTGCTGGTACGGACCACTCATGGACAGCTCTAATGCTGAAGGTAAGGTTTATCTGTTTGAATGATACCAATATTATTGTGGACATTCTGCCTATTAATAATTCATTTGTAGGACATACTCTGAAACAATATATGTCGACTCTGGTGGTTATTTGTAAATGTGTCCACCTTTTGGTTTTATAAAATTTTAGAAGTGATGGGAAAGCAAATGTCCATAGATTCTTTTCTATTATAATCATCAGACACATCTAAGCTCATTCTAATGATAATAATAACATTCCTGAAACTTGTAAAACTTTGTCTACCTAAAGGAATATATTTCAGTTATTTTAACAGTTTTCATTTTCCACTGCCCCGTTTTCTGAAAACCCAGCTTTGCAATGCTCTCGAAACTGCAAACAAGTTGGTCCAGTCTACCAACTCTCATGTTGGCATGCTGTCGGAGAAGGTTAGGGAGCTGGAGAGAATTATCAATAGGGCAGATTCTGCCGTTGCAGCAGCCAAAGGCATCCACAACTCTCCAAAATATTCAACTGTCCAGGCCTGATCAATGACAAGGTTTGGAAAAACGAATATTGACATCTTTTATTTTCAACAGGTAGTGCAAAATATTGACCGAGAGTGTCTTGTTGAATAAGAGTTCGAAAATGATTTGGAGAAAGAGAAATAAGGAGCATTAAAAGTTCATTATCTTGTGCCCCTTGGTCTTAGAATAACTTCATTTTCCTTGTTGGAGTTTGCAGTAGTTTAGACATAGGAAATGTGCTAGTACGGGATTCAGGATGGAGTTTTCCACTATAGCATTTCTGTGAGTTCAGAATGTATGCATATCTTGAAACTGAGTTTGGTTGTAATATATTCTTGATTTGTGCAAATGAAACTGAGTTTGGAAGAGCAGGTTATCTCTTTACATTTGAAGCACTGATTCTGGATTTTCTTGAACATTTTGAATAAATAGTATAGCGGTGATAGAGAATCCGAAAGACGGACAAATCTGGCTATATTTATGTGAGTGGGGATGATGTCATCATGTGTTTATAAATCTGCCTTTCGGACTAGTAATCATTTTTCTAGGAGGCATTGCAACTTCTTGCCTTGTTTTCTCTCTCCTCCATCTTTCTCTCTGGCTCATCTTCACAACCATTATTGTTCAACTCTTCATTCTTACTTCAGAATCTCAGTCCAAAGTCCTCAAAGGCTCAATCAGACCACCGATGATCTACCCCTGACCCTAACATGTGCTTCAAGTTCGCCCACTATCTATTTATGCATGCATATACACAAAAATAATGCATAGAGTGCCCCTGGGGGCTTGGATGAGTTGGTAAGGTGAAGGCTTTGCTATCACTGGCCAGGGTTGGATCCTTCCCACCTCCTTTGATGAGTTGGTAAGGTGAGGACCTTGGCTATCACTGGTCAGGGTTCGAGCCTTCCCACCTCCTTTATTATTCTCGACTTACCTTGCTGCTTACAATATAGGGTCAGCGTCGGCAGTCGGAGGTTTACCTAATAGCTACAAGTCCAAAGGGCGGGTGGTTGCGAGGGTTTCCACATCATAAAAAAAAATAATAATGTGTACAAATTTTTGGAATATGATTTTAAAGAAGTGACTCTAAAAGGGGTGACACTATTGATCCACACGTATATTTTAGATTAGGGTCAATATTGCTTGATCAATTGGAACCTAAAAAAATAAATTTGTTCAACCTCGAACAAAAGTTTTGCCAAAATTGGGAGATGTTGAACTAAATATTAGTAATTAATATACTAATAATATGGGGCTCCACTCATTTGACACATAGGCGGCCACATAGATTTGGTTAAAGGAATAGGTTTGGTCCAAACAGCACTGCTCTTTGGCACAGGAGAGTTATTGATTACTCATTTTTTGATGGTTTTTTTTTTTTTTTTTTCAATAAAGGGATTCTTGTTTTACCATCAGCACCAATCACCAAATAAAACAGTTAATTGCTTTCATTTCTCTCCTTATCTCACTAAACCTCGTTCTTGGTTATCTCACTAAACCTCTTTCTTGCTTATTCCCCCCACCCACAAGGTTAACACTATTCTCTTATTAGTTTCTCACAATACAAGACATTCCAATGTGGTTCTCATGTTATAATCATTTGTCCTTTTCCATGGAGATTATGTTATAAAGTCTAACATCACATAGACACATACGAGTTAACATTGGTTTATAATATCAACAATTGAAGTCAATTGGAGTACTTCAATAATAAGCCATTATTTTGGTGAAAGCCAACAATTGTCGACAATTACTTCAATAAAGTTGAAAACTACCTCCAATATTATTAATAAACCACCAATTTACTAGAAGTGCACTTAATTCTTAGCATGTTTTTAATGTCCAAGATTGGGTTTTGTCATGATTCTCAGGTGCACCTCAAAGCATGCTATATTGTTGAGAATTGAATGTAAGTATGAAATTTTATATTTGACATGTCATTGGAAGGCATGAAGCATTAATGCATGGCATTGGGCAAGAAATTGGTAAAATAATTTGAAAAGAAATAAAATTTGTTTTGGGAAAAGATTTTGAAAAGTAGTTTGCGAAAACCCGGGCACCTAGGAGCTACTTAGTGGTCCATGATGTTAATGTGACCTAGAGGAAACTAGGGAGGGACCCTAGAGTGGTTGAGCTAACTAGGACCCAAATGACACCCTAGAGCTGCCTTGTGGTCAGGGATAGTTAGCTAATCCTTCTCTCGTGGCGCCATAGAGCTGCTATGGATCGGGTTGTATTAACGGTTTGGAATGGAAAAACGGAAATGTTTTGAAAACGGAGAGCGACATTGGTATATCATTGCTTTCCATTGACATGGCATGGTTTATATATAGTTTGGTGGTTGTTGTTGTTGTTGTTATTGTTATTGTTGTTATATTTCTTTCCAAAATAGTATGCTCCCATTCTCTTGTCGTCTATGCTTTGTTTGGATTCACAGGGTCATTAAGAGGTGTATCTTAGGCACCTCCTACTAAACGGTTGTGCTCACTCCTTATATTATTATTTTCAGAACACGGGAAAGAAGTGATAAATGACAATCCCCCACAAGCTTAGTTGGATTAAAGGACTATTTTTTATTGTTCCTGTATTTGGAACTCTATTTTGTAAAGCTTTAGCATAACATGTATAATCTTGTGTAATATCCCTAGTTTTCAAAAGGATATAAAAGGGATTTAATTTTTATTTTATTGTATTTTAGGTGCTTACGTGGCTATGTGTTTATGTGGCTTGATGTTATATGGTTTATTTAAATTAATTGTTTAATTGTAAGCACTTAAGTATTTTATTTAAATTAATTGTTGTATGAAATTATTTGTTAAAAGCTGATGTTTTTATTTAAATGTAATTTTTATTTGCTAGATTAAATGTGTATTTTATTTTTTTTTCTTAGTTTAAAATGGTGGTTTGGATAGTAGTAATGGACCAATAATTAGGTTGCATAAACTACTTCAATGGGAGTTGATTATGGGTATGGATATTTACCCATATATGGATGGTTGTTTATATATAATTGGGTATATACGTTGATGAGCGCTGAAAAGTGTGCATTTAAACCCCTTAAGCTTGAGTATTCTAAGACCTTTATCTATCTTATTTTCTCGTTTTAGATTAATTTCGTGTTATTGTTTTTTTTAGGTGCTTATCCCAAAAATAAGTTAACTCAGCCAAATAAGAGCCTAAAAGAAGTTAACTCCAGCTGGATGAAAGAAAGGAGCAAAGTGGAAGCACAATTGAGCAAGTGGTGGAAGTTCAGCAAAGTTCGATCGATCACAGAATCTCTTCGATCGATCTGACATAGATTGATCTCTGCACTCCAAGATGGATTCAAGCTCTTTTGTCCTTATCTAAAGATTTCATCTTATCCTGTTGTACTACCCCACCTACCACTTTTGTCTATTTCCCAAAATATCTCAAAAATATCTCAGATTTGTCTTTATCCAAAAAGGCGCCGCCATAGGAGGATCGATCTAACCAAAGTTTGATAGATCTTAGCCAAGTTCGATCGATCTCAGCACAGGCTTGATCGATCGAACCTCCTTAAGTCCGAAAAAAATAAAGTTCTAGCTTATTAAAAGTTAGCTCAAGGTGCAATCAATTCAAGGGCCATAGTGCACGAGTCCAGACCATGGGGGGTGACATATGAGCCTCCTATATAAGGATTTTGAGCCACTTTTACCACTGGGGGAGGGGGGGGGGATCCAAGAATACAATAGAGATCATATCATCTATCTTTGAGAGGAGGCTAGAGACTAGAGAGTTTTTACACATTCTTGGGAGTTCTTCCATTCTTCTAGGGTTTCCATCAAGAAGGAGGTCATGCCTACCATGGAGATAGCCCTTGAAGGTTGGATGACTACTTCAATGAGTGGTTAGACATCTACTTGGGGCTAGAGTAGCCCCTTAGTTTGCTTCCTAGACCTAGTGCTTTGTGTATTTTTAGGGATTTACTTGTAACAAATGTTTTGATCTTGGATTTGTATATATATATCTTGTGGTTTCTACTTGATGTGTATGGATTAATCCTTCTAATTGATTATTTATTTCTAATCATATGTCTATGTATGCTAGAATGGTTGATTCATGTGCTTTTCTTTAGATTCAATAGAATTTATGCATGTCTATGTGTATGGATGAAGTTAATCTAGAGATGATCAAAACATAGTACTTAATTAAACACTCTTGCAATTTATTTGATGGTTCACACTTGTTTCTTGATGGATTATGCCACACCTTTAGCTTATTTAGTTTAATTTCCATGTCTTTAGTGTAGATGTAGTGTAGTTGCTTTAGATTCTTAGATAGGTGGACAATCTATTCTTGTTCCTTGGTATTCCATACTTCAAAGAGTATATGTTTCTAGATAGTTGTGTGTGCATAAATTGTGGTTTCATTGAATGGATTATGGTCTCATTTGATAGGTTGTGCTTTCCATTTGAATTGGCTAGACAATCTATACTTATTTGCTATCCATGTTTAGTTTCAATTAATGTCACACACACACACCCACAAGTTACAATTCAATTTCAACATTAATATACAATTGCTAGTATCTAGTGAAGTCAAGCTTAATGGTGAGCTCTAGTACCCGAAGTCCTCTCCTCTGTATCTTTTATCTTCTATATTGTCATATCTTGTTTGCTTTAATTATAATTGCATTGTAGTTTAATAAACCAAACCAACCATCTTTTGATCACTCGACCTACTAACCCTATACATTGTTTCCATTGCTAGAGCACCCACAATCCCTTGGGACGATCCCTACTCACCCTAGCTATATTTTTAGTTAGCGGTAGTAGTGGCATTTATAAATTTAAAACTTAGCCACGCTAAATTGCACTCAAATTTGGTTGCACCGCGACGAGCACACCATACGTATATAAGGATAGAGTATTATTATTATTATTAATTATTTATTATTAATACTAATAATAGTAGTTTAGGTTAGTAGGTTACATATATATATGTATTTATAAATTATGTATATATTTAATTATCACGACATTATATTATATGTAAATATA